TATCGTGGTTGAGAGGGGAGACGATAATGTTGTCAAGAGTCGGGCATCGAGCGTCACTATCGAGACATCTATCATCTATGTTGAGATGATGTTGGTCAAAGATGATATGTCGAGAAGACCAACGTGATTATGGGGATATATTGCTAGCGTCAAACTTTGATTTTTAGATAGTTTTGAAACATTTATGTTGAAATGGCGTTGAACGTCGATGTTGTGATGGCATCAGGTGTTGTTGTGAAACCCTAGCTAGGATTTGCAAATAAAAATGAAAATGCTATATTTAGGGAAAGGTATATTGAGTGTAGGCAATTAATTTGGGGTTGCTGAGAGTAGATAAAAATTTAATTTTTATTTTTAATAAATAAAAATTTGAAATATAAGAAATTATATTAAAAAAAATTCATATAAAATAAATAAGACATGGGTGTCGGACGCGCATGTCAAACACACGTGTCAAATTTATTTTAAATATTTTTTATCGGATAAGTTTTTGGCAATTCGATACATATCAAAGGCGTGTTGGGCGCATTGAGTTTGATACATGTCAGACATTGCATATTTCATTGAAGAGAAAAGTCGATACATCATAGGATTGACCCAATTAACCTAAATAACCCTTTTTCTCCAAGTTCTAGTGACTTAAAAATTTTTCACCCATTTAAAATCAATTGGATAAATTCAATCAAATTTAGTCAATTGAACAAAATTTGACCTTTCATAAGATGTCCTTACATGGTTTATACACAATTGAATCTTTAGGACCATTTGATTTGACCATGATTAATCACTTTTATCAAGGAAAGTCAAGCCTTGCCCATTTGGAATAACTTAAACCAAATGGACTCAGGACCTTCAAAAACCTCCTTTTCATTAGATGTCCATAAGTCAGAAGGAGACCTTAGGTCTCAATTGGCCTCTTGGTTGGCAAATTGCTCAGCTAAACCCAAGTATCACAGAATGAACATTTAAGGATTCAAACTTGCAAACCTCAAATTAATTGATTTAAGTGAATTCTAAGTTTTTAAAAGTTGTCTCTAGATGAAATGTATCCTCCTATAGCCAATAAATTCATTGATTGGACCAATTAAGTTCAATTGACCCAATTTGAAACATTTGAAATCAAATGGATCAAGTAAGACAAATTTTCCTTAAACACTAAATTATTTCAATCATTGGGCATGGAACTTACCTAGGATGATTATAACATGACACAACTTGTGGTCAAGCTTTTGGTCAACCAAGCTTGACCACAAGTTTGACCATTGTTGTTCAAATTGATCAATTCAACCCATAAGGAGACTTACCCTATTCCAAATAAGATCAACCTAAGCAATTGCAAATTGGATTGAATCGAAGCTCATCGATATAAAATGGGATGCTAGGAAACTAACCCTAATTTGATTCAATCCAATTGACCATTCAAATGGGTCAATTTGACTAACGGGTCAACATACCCCATTGTGCTTATTTGAAAATTAAGTGAGGATTTAAATCCACTTAAAAAGGGAATTAAATGGAATTAAATCTTCCATTTATTAGCTGATGAAGGATAGCAACTTTCCTAACAACCCTAAACCTAGATGAAGCCTCTAAACATTTACATTGAGTAATTGAATTATGTGTGCATCATCCACACCTGAAGAACAAAATATCATATGCCCTAACCGCTCTCCTCTGTGTTGCCCACCTCCCATCCTCCGGCGCTCGGACTTTAGGCTTCATAGTGATGAGCCGAGCAGTGTAGGTGGTGCTCCCTCTGCCTTAGTCAGCACGTCGCGTCCTTGCCCAACCGACGCTGGCTAGCTCTGCGATTTGGGTCAGGAGGTTCGGAGTTCTCTCTTGCTCTCGTCGCCATGTCTAGAGTTTACTCTTACTGCTGTCTCAATTGGTCCTCCCTGTCGTAATCCCTCTTTTTTCTTGCGATTTTAATCAGTATGGTTGTAGATCGATTCAGGGACCCTGGGTTTTTGGATGGAATGCCAAAATCTAGGTCTTTTTGCGATGCTTTGTCGGGTGTATCGCCTTCGCCTGACTTCCCTCCACTCAAAGTCTCTTCACACCATGGTTTACCTGCGTTACTGATTTTGGTAGAATATCCAAGGGTTGCACCATGAATTAACTATAGGAGACTCACATCCATGCTTGATTTGGGCCCTATAATAAGAACCCATGGAGGAAGAGTTGTCGGCTCTACTCCATCTTCCCCAAGTTCAATGGAAATCTCCATAGTCTTCAGCTACCTTAGATCATTCAATGAGCTTAGCCAATGAACTGAATCAAAGTTGAATTTGTATCTCGATCAACCTAGTAATCTCATATATATCAAGCCAATATAATTAAGTGTTATCTTCACCTCACTCTAGTGAAGTCTAGTGAAGGTGAGACATCCATTTCATCATGTCCACTCACGCAAGTGAAAATCCTCAAGCCTAGCCTTAGGAGGGTGTGGTTCATGTGTTGACTCAGGACATGAGTAGGTGAATCGGACCCCTCTCCTTGAAGCCCTAACAAACCTCAAGGACTCTTAGAGAGAAGACACTTGCAGGTTGTCTCTAGAGTGTGAAATTAGCTTGGCTAAGGCTCAAGTCAGCTGACTCAAACCTAGTCCAAGCTTTGGTTCAAATCCGCATGTTTTTTTTTTTAATCTAATTTGTGTGCTACAAGGATGATGAAATCAAAACTGTTTAATCTATTTTAAAGATTGAACAGCTGTGATTAAGTCAAATGATCACATGTTTCATCCATAGGCCTATTTAGTAGGAACTTTTTGGGTTTTTTTTTTTTTTTTTTTTTTTTTTTTTTTTTTTTTTTTTTTTTTTTTTTTTTGCCAAACCAAATAACCTATAAAATTTTAACTACAAGTGCATTAGGACATAGGGAATCTAGGAAAAAAGTTGTCATACAAATTTTTTTTCAACTTTTTATTTTTAAAAAATCAACCTTCCACTATTTTAATTACTAAATGGAAATCTTTCAAACTCATTTGGAAGCTTAATAGACTCTATTAAGCCTGTGATAATTATCTCATGTCATGGCTAATCTTACATTGCATGTTATGATTTTTAAAATAATTAAATTCACTATTCAAAAATCCTAGTAATTAGGATTTGAATTTAAAATTTCAGAGACATTATGGAAGGTGTCTTGCATATTAAGATATTTCATTGAATTTTCCTACAATTCAAATACCCATACTTCCATAGGAATACTCCCTATCATATTGTATATGGCCAACCACCTCAAGTAACTCTTCCTCATGAACAGGGCACTTTAGATATGGAAGCTACATAAGTGATATGTTAGCATCAAAATAAGTTTTTATAACAGGTAGAGAGAATTTGCATAGGACAATGGATCGCATGAAATAAATTGCAGATAAAAGGTGGCAAGATGAGTAGCTGGAGGCAAGAAATTTGGTTTTAATAAAAATACAATTTACAACTATATCATCAAACTTTGGTAGCCAGACAGGTCTAGTAAATTGAGTCTACAATATTATGGGTTGTATCCAATAGAAGTGAAGGTTCGTTCAATAGCTAATTGAATTGGGTAACTAAACCAACTAACAATGCACCCTATTTTCACAACTCGCTCCTCAAACCTTTAAAAGAGGCATCTAATTTGCATCCAGCCACATTGAGTTCTCAACTCAAAGAAAGCCAACCGCCTGTTTTCCCTGTAACAATAATGAATTAACAACAAGTGCAATGCGAAAGAGATAACAACCTTCAATTGCATGATCAAATGTGGGGATTCTGAAATATGTTAAATTGATATTGATTGAGGGTTTATAAGCTTCATGCCTAGAATTTGACCTTGCGGACAAGGTCCTTCTAGAAACGGGGTACATTATTGTAAATCCTCAACATCAACAAGCAACTAAAAACAAGAGAACTCAGCAACAACAAGTGCTAGATCGGATGCTCTGTTTAAAATTGCGCAATAAGAGGCGCGCCTCTGCGCAATTTGACCCAAAACCGCCTCGAGGCTTACGCAATTCCTCTCCTGGCAGAGGCGTACGCCTCACTTGGACTGAGGCGCGCCTCAGAGGCGCAATTGCGCAATTCTGGCTGAGGCGTACGCCTCAAATATATGCTCAGTACCGCTCAGTATATGCTCGGTACCGCTCAGTATATGCTCGGTATAGCTAGGTATTTTTTTGTACTTTGGGACATGATTTTATTGCATTTATTTTCTTACTTTCCCCTAATTTTAATTGTCATTTAGATGTTTTTATTATATGATAGAATTTTGCTATTTTTTACTTGCTAAAACCCTTAAATTCTCATTTACCCAATTCTTCGTCGGTGAGGCTTACGCCTCACACCGCCTCGAGGCTTACGCCTCGCCTCACGGACGAAAAATGCCTCGAGGCTTATTTATGCAATTTTAAACCTTAATCGGATGAAGGATTTCTATTTCAAATGGCAACAATAACTTTGTAACATATTATTTAGTTATACAAGTATTTTAACTAACTAGCAGTTAGTTGGTTTGTTTAGTTAGGAAGGCCGAACGTGTATTGTCAGTTGGATTCATGATTGTAAGAAAACAAATGTTAAGATCCTATAAATAAAAGAAAAGGAGAATGCAGCAGCCAGACAACAAGAGAGATTCCCTTCTTTTCTTCTCACTTTCTATTGCTCTGTTTGTATCTACTTCCGTGATAATTCTGGGCTATGGCAAGCTTGAAATTACTAGATAATGATTGGGAATCTTATAAGCAAACTTCCAGTCCTAATGAAGACCAAACAATGTTCATGATTAAGATGAAAAACTGAGACATTTGAATACCTAAAATTTTATAATCCGGATAGGTATATCTTTAACACCTATACTTCCTGATAAAGACTGTTTCACTGCCCTAAGGAAAGAAAGGGATTCCAACTTCGAAATAGTAAATAGTCACAAAGAAGAGTTGACATCCGTTGCCCCAACAAGGAATAGAAACTCTAGACAATCAGACATTTGCAGTTCTCGTAAAAGATCAGTAAGCATACCACCGACGAATAGCTTGGAGGCGATACTCCGGGAGGATACGTGTTGGAACGGAAGAATACAAGGGTTCAAGCTTCCAATGAGTGCGCACCGATATCGAGCACCGCAGCAGAAGGTTGCTCCCCGCAAAGCAACCGCCATGATTTCCTGTTCGATCCCCAAAAAGCTCAAAAAGAGCACCTACGGATTTCGGAGCGGGGCACGGCGGCACGCCGCTGCTAAGGTTTTGGCTAAATTTTATAAATAAATCTTTTAAATAAATTTTATTATAAGTAAGAGTACGAATTTTAGAAATTAGAAAGAAGTAAAATCGAAATTGAAATTCTCATATAAATTGAGAACTAGAAAAAAAAATCCGGTTTCTGAAACCGAAAAATCAAAATCCGATTTCAAACTTCATTGTTTTAATTGTTTTTTAATTGGGTTGCTTTAATACAATATTTAATATTTATTATTAAATTAAAAATTGCATCTTAATTTAAAATTTTATAAATATTTAAATTAAATAAGTATTTTTATATTATCAATGTTTAAAATATTTTATATTAAATTAACTATATTTAATAATATAGCTAATATATATATTAATATAATTAATATTTTTTATTAAATTATTTAGTTTAATTATTAAATATATGTATTTTAATAATAAATTATTAAAAATTTTCTGAAATATAAAAAAAATATTTAATTTAAATAATTCAAAAAATTTAACTAAAATACCATTTTTTATTTAATAAAAATATTAAATATTGTGCTTTTTTAAACAATGTAATTTTTTTTTAATTTAAGTATGATTTTTGTTTTTTTAATATCACTTTTTAAATTATTAAAATTTCTATTGGAATTTTTTTAAAATAAAACATATATTTTAAATAATGATTATTTATATAGTTTAATAGTATAATTTTTAATATTTCAGATTAAAGGTTTGAAACCAGAATTAATGAAATCGAATTAAAAAAAATAAAATTTATAAAGGTTTGAAACCAGAATTCGGTTTTCCGGTTTCTTTAAAGTAGTTTTTTTGTTTTCCGGTTCCAAATTCCGGAATTTCTTTTTCCGGTGAAACAGGAATTTCAATTTTCAATTTTAGTTATTTCTAAATTTTGGAATTGGTACACTCATATTTATATTAAAAATTATTAAAATGCTCTTTCATAAAATTTGATCTGAGGTTTTGGCCTCGTTTGATTAGGCTTATTTTCTTCATTTCAATAGGTCAAAATTAATTATTTTGAACGGTTTGAAAGGACGGTTTTCAGTTTCTTTTATAATCTCTTCACGCAAAATATGATTTTTTTTATTGGCTAGGAGAGTTATTTCTTATCTGCTTATTCCAATGCAAATCTCAATTTTGAAATAAATAGACGAAATTACCCATCTGTGAACTTCGTCTTCTCCAGCAGGCACGCACGTTTACGAGCTTCATCTTTTTGTCTGGGCTGCTCTCCCAACATTGTAATTCGCACCATTCAATCCAACTTTGTCGATCCTCCTTCGGTTCCTTAAGGCAGACCTCATGATGTCGCTGATGATTTTATGCTGGAACTTATTGTCTTGCTTAGAGAAGGCGATAGATGACCAAAAAGTTGTGGGGCTTGCCAAATCTATTAGGACTCCCATCAATGTGGTTTATGGGGGTAAAAGCAATATTCTCAACAAATTGACTAAGAGGATAATGAAGCGGAGGATTCTTAGGAAAAGTAGAAGGAAGAAGTTGTTGAATAATAATAAATCCAAACCGTGTATCCTTATTGGCTCATATATATATATATATATATATATATATATGTGCGCGCATGTGTGTGTAAAACTTAGTTTTTAAAATAATAAAAAATATTTTTATATACAAAAATTTCATAGATGGATAATTTAGTCTTTTATTGTGAATCACTAAACCTGAAAACTTAAGCAAATAATTAATATCTTCTTTCAAGTTTTTGTAAGCACTTAAAAAGAATGTTACTCTAGCAATCCATTATTGAAACAAGTTTTTTAAAACTCCTATTTTTAAACATCTATTTCTAAAACTCCATTTTACATAAGCAAAAAACTTAATCAAACGATTCCTTAATTACATCATTTCCAATTTGAAGAAGTGAAATCAATTTAAGTTAACATGTTTGGAAGCACAACTTCTGTAAAATAAATTTTTCGTTCAACTCTGTTTTTTTACCAGCATGAAAAGAGAAAATATTTGTTGAATATCTTTGTTTTGAAAAAAAATGTCAAAATTACCCCCATCACGTCTGCATGTCCACAAGCACCTACGCGAGCTTCCTATTTTCTAGCACCTCATCTAGATCAATTTCCTTCGTGATTTCTCAATTCCCTCCATCATTTCGACTGTGAATTCCTCATTCCAACTTCAACGCTTTTCAACTGCAACATATTCAACAGTCGATTGCTTTTATTCTTGGCAACAAAGAGGTACATCTCACTTTCCCTAGGTTGGATCATCTCATTCCTCCTTTCATATTCGCATTATATAAAATTACATATAGCTGTTGTCAACCGTCTCACAAAACGATCCAGAAGATCACCACAAGATCACCAATCTTCTAGGTGTAAATTCATTAAGTTAATGCATAAAGTATTCACAAGATCCACAAGTTTCATATTGTATGCATTAACTCCAAGATGGCTCTGCTCAGTATTATTGCGTCACGAATGATCGATACTCTGACCATTATCATTTTTTCTAGAATTTTCAATAGCATATCAGGTTATTTATGGTTTCCTCTTGAGAATGCTTTAGCTAAATAATTATGCCATGTTTTGAATTTTAGATTTTAGATCTTAATGTTGCAAATCTGGACCAAAGTTCTCTGATTTTGATGATGACAAACATTATTGTTCTTTAACTACTGTGATATTTGCATATATACTTTATGTGCCCAGCTCACTAACCTTTCAAGTCCACAAGTTTACTTGAAACGTTAATCAGCTTAAGATCAAGTAGATTAGGATTGAGTTAGTTTGTAATTTCTATTTCAAAGCACTTTTTACCTTTTTTCTAACTCAAATGTACATCTGAAGCTAAGTGACCTTACACACACACCCTCAGGAAGAGAAATCTGCTGAGTTAGAATTTTTTTTATTTTTGATCATATCGTATAGAACGATTGAACGATAAGTCAAATATAGAAATCCTAATTAGGGCTTCTGAGTCATATTAACTTGCTTAAGCAAATCGTCCCGAATGATATTCTCATCATCCTGGACAATATTCTCAAATAAAAAATACACAGCCGCCAAACTCATTTAGGCAAGATTTTATTTATTGAAGTTTATTCTAATCGTACTGGACGATTCATATCATCCTGTACGATTGATTAAAATAATGCCTAAATTAGTAAGGTGATTAAGAAATGTAATTAAGGTTAGATTGATCGATCATATCGTCACGGACGATCTAAAGATCAACCTGGATGATAAGTACGAAAAATCTTAGTCTTCTCTTGAATCACTTGGACGTCCCAAACTATTTGCTAGATGATTAGTTATATTTCTCATCATCCAGATGTATCTCCTGGACGACCCGAACTATTTACTGGATGATAATCATTGATTTTGAATTAATCATACAGGACGATTTAATAATCATCCTTGACTATCAGACATATTTCTTCATCGTCCAGATTTATCTCATGGACGTCCCAAACTATCTACTGGATGGTAATATATGATTTTGAACTAATCATACAGGATGATGTTCATATCGTCTTGGACAATTCGAATAATTATTGTGTTCTAATCGTATAACAAACTCAGAACATCTTGGCTAGAAAGGCTAAATTACATTAATCATGTAGGATGATCTATAGATCGTCTTAGAAGTTCTTTGATGGTTAGTTAAAATTTAGGGCAATTTTTAAGACCTTCTTTGTAAGATCTCTTAATTATTAATAGGAGAGTCTTTTACTGTTGTTTTAATCTGAGAGAGCTTAGAGAAGAAGAGAGAGAGCTTGGGAGAGAGAGAGAAAAGATCTTGTGAAGGGGAGTTTGTAAGGTGTTCATAAAGGTTACTCCAAGCAAGGATTTGAGTCATCTTCTCCAATCATCATCCTTATCTCCTTGGTGGCTCTAGGAAGGTCTCCATCAGCGTTAGATCATGGTTCTCTTCCTACTTAAGGAGGAAGCAAAAGGAGTTAAGGTTCTCTGCCTACTTTAGGAAAAAGCAAAAGGAGTCTGAGTTCTCTGCCTCACCGGGGTCTGTGAAAAGGATTTTGTAAAAGCTTCTCCGCCTTGTTATGGGAGTAAAATAAGAGTCACTGTGATTCTAGTACAATACCTGGAGGAGAGGCTCCGAGCTATGGTCGTAGGTCAAGTTTATCGAATCACTATAAAATCTGGTGTGTTCTTTTTGTGTTTATTCTTACATTTTATTTTTTGCATTTTATTTTCTATGGTTGATTGTGTGGTTAAAATCTCTAATTTATTTTATTAATTGCTTCCACATCAAAGATTGATTATTTTTATTTTAAAATATTCAAAAAGATTTCAAAAATATTATTTTATTTATTTAGAAATTTTTAAAACTACTAATTCACAGCCCCCATCTTGGTTAGTCTCGGATTAATTCATAAGAGCTTAACAATCTTATCGAACTTTCAAGTGGTATTAGAGTGAGATTCATAAATTAAAGTTTTAGAAAACTATTAAATATGATCCATGGCTAATTTGGTAACTGGAATACCGCGGAAGGATATTCCATTACTCGACCACCCTTATTTGATAAAATAACCTTTACATTTTTAGAAAACTTGCATGTCCACCTTTTTGCAATCTATAGATTATCGCATGTGGATCTTCGTAAAAGAAGATTATTTTGCATCAACATGTGAAATAAATGGCATTAAAACTAAACTTTTATTTTCTGAATGGACTTTTGATGATATAGATGTAGCATAAGTTAATGCAAAATACTTAAACTATTTTTTCTGTGCACTAAAATATGAAAATTATATGTGTGTTTCAATATGTAATATAGGTAAAGAAATTTGAGATAGATTATGTATTACTTATTAAGGCCAAAGTGAAGTTAAACAATCTAGATTAAATATCTTACTTCATGACTATTAACTTTTTTGCATAAAACCTAATGATTCAATATCTGAAATGTATACTAAATTTAGTCAAACAGCTACCTCCCTGCATACCTTAGGAAGAGATCTAACAAACTATGAGAAAGTGAACAAAATCTTGAGATATTTTCCTTCCTCCTTTGATG